GCCACCGGGGAGCCGATCGCCACCACCCGCCGCCGCACTGGAACCATTTCCGACCGCCAAAAAAGGTAAAAACTTCTCCTTTTGCATGAAATTCAATTTTAAGCTCCCTTTTGGCTCAATCAGAGTGAAAGAATCGGCCAATTGGCTGAAAATCACCAACAAAGCCCGGCGGCACCACCGCGGGAAATTTCATAAACCGCCTCTAATGAGGCCATTTTTAATTCCCGTTTTGCGTAATTTTTTTACTGTTGTGATCACTATTTTTTTCTCTACAGGTTGACCGAAGCGAAACACCTAACTGCAACATGAGTCGGATGAGCTGCCGCACCGGAGAGCCTCGCCGCCGGTAAGTTTCGATTTTTCGTATTTTTTCGGCCAACCGAGGCCCTTTAGCATATGTGCTCACAGGAATCGATGCAAAATCGGTCGAATTCGACTGAAAATAGCTAACCCGAGGTGGACTGCCGTGCTAGATTTTCGAAATTGGCTGAGTGGGCCCTTTGACTAATTTTGGATTTATTTGGAACATTTGTAGGTACTATAAGCGCGTTTCAGTTCTTGGAGAAAAAATCAGAGAATTTAGGGACCGCCCATAGGCGCAGTAAACTGTGTAGCTTTTCGATGTCAGATCGAGTAAGGATCCCTCACCCTATTCCCTATCATAGAATTGAAGTCTAAATAAATAATAATCCGGTATTTTATGTGAATTTGAAAAATGTGCATAGTTAATTACAGGTTGTTAATGGAGGCGAAACAGGAAATTATTCTCTATTAATTTCTGTTGATTGATTTTACAATTTATATTTATGATGGTATCTGATTTATTTTATGGCCTCGAACGCATTTATGTTTAATTGATGTGTTTACTGCTGAATAAAAAAAAGGGATGTTAAACGGTAAGAAAATTGTGTGATTTAAATGAATAGATGAAACGATAGCCTTACTGGATATCCTGAGAGATTGTGGACAGATCGGGTATATAGTGAACCCTACCGTGGATGTTGTCTCATACCGGATGGGGTATGCAGACCTGATAATTTGGTATTCATACTGAACGGGGTATGGGGACTGCCCGCTTCACTCTCATACCAAACGATGTATTGAGGTTTAATGTTTTGGTGCTCATACCAAACGGGGTATGGGGACGGCCCTATAATTTAGATTGTTAAAGGAAATGGTTCACCTGTTGCGAATACATCCCTATGAACCCCCATGGATACTAGTAGACTGGTGAAAAGAGAAACAGTTATGGTTTGGTTTATTGTTAATGGATATGAATTTTTAATATGTGCTATGATTACTGGTTATATATGGAATCATGATCTGTATAATATTATTGTCTGTATATATTGTTTTCATAAATACAACTATAGTAAATAGTTTTATTTTTAATAAACATATTAGTTTAAATTAAGTACTCAATTAGTTGCTTTAATTTTATACCAACTTTTACTTCTGTGCCAGTGATATAGTGTGATATCTTTATTGAGCTAGTGTAACTCATTTTTTATTTAACAATTTCAGATCAAGAAGATCTGGTTACAGAGTTTGATCCGCAAGAAAATTATAAGTAGATGCTAGATACTTTTTATTTTTTATTATTTTTCTTATTTTTCGTATTTTTTTTAAAGAATTTATTCCGTAATGTTGTTTAGTGCTTTTAAGTTATTGTGTAAGGGATGTAAACCTTAATTTTTTATTTCGTCTCCGTACTTAAATGATTATATATTTCTTTTTAGATTTTCGAACTCGTTACAGTACATGAGGTTATTATCTATTTTGGCTTATATACAATATAGAAATATATATATATATGTGTTGAAATATGCATACAATTAAACTATAAGTACACGCATTGTTAAACCCAAGTATGATGAATTAGAGTATACAATAATGCTGGCCAGGGGGAATTAAACAAATTGAACACGGCAACAAAGTGGGAAATTCTTCTGTATGCATACACACGTATATAGATAGACATATATATATATATATATGTACACTTGGAATGTCGATGATTGAATGAATATTTATATATATATGTATGTATTATATTTATAATTGAGTCAAAAGGGGGATTTCACAAATCTGTAGCAACAAAATGGAAAGGGTTAATTATGGGGATACATTATAAGTATATTATAAAGTTTTTTAAAAAGCTAAAAATTTTCTCTCCCTCACTTTCCATGTGGTTTTAATGGCGGGTTTGACGTATCCCTTTAAATATATATTTTTGAGTGGCCCCCTGTTGGTACGTGTGCAGGTGCACTGCATCATTACTCCACACGTGTGAAAATACGCAGGAACATGGACTCCACATGGGACGAGGCCCTGGTGATCCCCGCTTCCAGTTTATCAAATTAAACCTTACCCCATTTTTGTAAAAAATCAAAAAAGAAAAAATCCATTACCCATTTTTATTTTTATTTTTATTTTTTTAAATACTTTTTATTTATGAAATTGCATTACAATAAAGTCCACTAATATATGTGGGTGTTATGTGTGTGTATGTATATATATATATATATATTTCGATAGATATTGATTCAGAGTATATTGTCAACTATCTGTAACACGACATGGCAATCATTGCAAATCAATCGGTCAAATCTCATCCATGTGTGTGTGTAAAAATATATCCTCCACCCCCCCCTTGACTACTCTTCAATAATTCATGTAAATTTATTTGAATAAATAAATTAAAATTTTAAATCATTGTACCTGACTACTACAACTTATGAAACCTAATAATTCATGCAAGTTTTACAAGTAAGAGGTAAGCTATTATTAAGTTAATAATTCTGGACTGCTTAATATTCCTTTTAACATATTTTTTATTTAATATTTTTTAATTAAAATTTTAAATTTTATCTACCTATTTTATTCGTCTTAATAAATTTTAAAATTTATTTTATTATAATTATTAAAATAAAAAATACTTTTCAAATCAATTAAATCTAAACACGTAATTTTGTATTAAATTAATAAAAAATATAAGCGGTAAATTTTTTTGAATCAACATAGTACTTCAAAAATTAATTTTTTTTTGTAGTAAAATTTTAAAAAAATAAAATAATAATTTTTTTATTAGATAATTATAACCGTATTTTATATCGATAAATTTTTATAATTTTTATTTCGTCCATCATAAAATAAAAATATTATAAAAATATTATCTACGCATTACAATCTTATACGTAAATTCAATGCATTAAACTTTAATACTATTTAATTACATTTAATTATTTTTAAAAAAATTCGTTAAATTAATA